TGGAAGGAACAGCTCGGACGAGGCCCCTCAGAAGACGTCTCTGGTTTTTGACAATGGCATTTCCCGCTTCGAGAGAGCTGGCGACATCGAGGACGAAGCTGGCGTCGGCACTAACAGCCCGTTCACTGACGAAGAGCTCAGCCCGACCCTCCCTGGTGCGCGTTCCCTTGTGGCTCCTGCCGCTCCGACCAGGGCGGCCTCGCGCGGGTCTTCGAGTGCTGGTCCTGGCGAAGCAGAAGTTGGCGGCCGTGATGGCACTGGCGGCGCCACACCACAGCACTATCGACTTACCCCGTTGGTCACGTCCGCCTCCGAGGCGGCGACAGCTACTACGGCGAGAGCGTCCAGTGGAGGTGTTGGAGATGCGCTTTCAAGATGTGCGCGTGCGCAGCCCCAGTCGGACGTGGTGGAGGTTGAGTTGCGCGCGTACGTGGACAAGACTCGCACGGATGTCATGGGCAGCATCCAGGTCATGCAGGCCTCCATCATGGCCCTGAGCACGACGATGCGCGATCACTATGCGAGTACCGACAAGGTGGCGGAGAAGAGGATGTTCAAGGTGCAGCAGGATCTCCGTGTGCATGATACGAGGACCAACAAGCTGGAGTCCGAGGTGCAGGAGCTTCGGAACCTGCTCGGGCTCATGAGAAAGGAAGAGCCCCCCCCTCGGGCGACGGGCGGAGGATTTGACAGGGACGTCGGTCGCGCCATCATCGCGGTCAGGACAGCGGTGCCGCTCCCGTTGCAGACGGCGGGTAATGCGCCGCAGCCATGGCTCCCGGACTCGAACCTCAACGCCGAGGACTGCGAGCTCCAGGGCGCCGCGGTCGGGAAGCGGTTCCAGATCCAGGTCGAGGGCCAGATGGGCTACGCGGTGCGGCGCGTCTCTCAGGCCATCAGTGCGCTCGTGCTCCCTGGCCGTGGCGCGGGCTGGCGGCAATTCTCTGCTGCCCCGCCCGCCGGCGGCGCCGGCGTCGAGATCGGCGTCGGAGCGGACGAGATTCCGAAGGTGGTGGCGCGCAAGCCCGGGCGCCAGAGGATGGCGCGCAAGCTGCTGGAGCTCTTGCCCGACAAGCGGCTTGTCACTGACAAAGACAAGAGGGCGGTCAGCACGTCGTGGAAGGATGTTGTTCAGTTTTACCCCGCGCCTGCGGGCGCTTCATTTGCGATCCTCTCTGGCGACGAGAATGCGGCTGAGCTCGGCATGGGCGCGGCGCTGGCCAAGCGCTCCATCCTGGGGCTCTTTGGGGACGGAAGGACACCGGGCGGTGTCTTTAGCAGGCCTCTCTCGGCATGGGCCGCTGGCTCGGCGGTTCGCGTTTCCATCGCGATCGCCGCGTGGAACGCCAGGGCGCTGCCGCGCCAGACCTTCCGCTTCGGGGCAAATCGATTCGGCGCTTTGGGGCCCCGTTGACCCCGCCCGCTATTCTCGGGCGCCAGGAAGTTCACGGGGCGCTGGGGGAAGCGGAGGACATGCTGCATCAGCTCCGCACGCCGTTCAAGATGTTTTACTATTGCAAAGATGACGGGCGCGCGTATGTAGGGGGTTTCCTCGCATTCTCCATTATCATGGGTGCGCAGGTGCAGTGCGCGGTCAAAGACGATATCGCTCCTGGGAGGGTCTTGAATGGACCTGCAATTCTGGGCGAGTCTGGGGGCTGCTGGATTTTTGCATTGGACCCTTCGCAGGTTCGGGATGTCCTGGAATCTGCGCCCGCGGGTGGCGCGGGAGATCGAGCGAGATTTTGAACGGGCTCGGCTCTCTCCCGAGCGAGCCCTCGTCATCCTCGCGGGGGACTTAAACGCGGGTGAGGCCCCGCCGATGCCGAGTATTCTTTCGGGTGCTTTCTCGACCAATTTTGGCCGCCGCGAGCGGCGCGCTGGGAGGGGTGAGATCTGGCAGAATCTGTTCTCCAGAATGATTGAAATTCAACTTGAGGACCCGACTCACTACTCGGTCGCCAACGCCTCGACGAACGCCATCTCGATCGCATCTTCCTTTCGCTTTCACGGTGGGGGCTCGTGCAGACGAATGCCGTCGGGTCGACGATCGACCGGGTTGAGATCGTGGACCACCTTGACCTCTCTGGCCGCGCCCCTGTCTCCGCGGGCCTCAAGGGGGCCCCGCAGCTCAGGCGCCAGGACAGCCTCATCCCGAAGCAGCTCCTCACCTCGCACTTTCAGGACTATATGCCAGCGTACCTGGAAGCAGTCTCGCGGGAGGTGCTTTCGCCGCCGCTGAAGATTGATTTATTTGAGTATATCATGACAGAAGATGCCAAGTTCGCTCGGAATGTTGTTTTTCGGTTTGAGGCAAAGGGCTGGATTGGTCGCATCATCTTCTATCGTTCAACTGCGAGAGCTGCGTGGAGACCAGATGAGAAACTTGGCGCCATCCCTCTGCAGGCGCATGCCGCTGCTCGGGACCTCTGTCAGATCGACTCCGGTTCGGGCGTGATCTCCCTGCGCGACGACAAGCGCTTCGCCCGTGATTTAGTCCAGCACCACACTGGGGATCTCGAGGCCCGAAGACCGAAGTTAGCTGCATCTTCAACGGGCGAGGCGCCTGACGAGATGCGACGTAAGAGACGGCGGCAGATGAGGCGACTCCAGAAAAGTGCATGGATCTGGGCCCCGCTCGACCGATGTCTGACGCTGAAGGGCAGCGTACTACAATCCCAGGAGATCGCGAGCCAGCCATCGGAGATGTCTCGGGCAATCTGTGGATATTGGGGTCAGTTTTCGGCAAAAAGCAGGTTCTGGAAGCCTCGGGGGACACCTGCATTCAGAAGCTCGGGGGCCACATGGTCTTCCCGGAGATCCATCCACCCGCCCTTGCTGGAATGCGCGCGCTTGCATCGACTTGAGGATTCTGCGCTTGGCCCTGATCGGCATCCTTACGCAGCATGGCGGCGCGGACCGCGTGCGGCTGGGCTGCCGGGCGAATGTCTGCGGTGGATTATGGTGGGACTTCTCCGATGTCGTCGGTCTACGCAGCGTCTCGGATCTTCGTTCCAAAAGGGGGACTGAGGAGGGAGACGACCTTGAACTATTCGGGGCGCGCAAACACTCCGACCGCTCGGGGTGAACAACTCGGAGAGCAAGATTCTGGCGGGGGCCGTCGCCCGTCCTTCAGTCGTCGAGACGGCTGAGGTCAGCTGCCCTCTCCAGCGCGGCTTCGCGATTGGACGGCCATTCGGCGCCGATGTCGTAGAGTTGTGATCGTGGGGGCAATGGAGGCACTCGGGAGGTATCGGAGGGCGCAAAATCATTGAAAACACCAAATGAAACCTGAATCCACATACCTCTTCGCACCATCGAAAAAATAAGGAAAAACAGCCCAGCAAACACTTAAGAACTCAGCGCGCCGACGAGGCGGCCGCTGAAAAAAACGCGCGGCCCGAATTCCAGCCACAATTTCGGCCAACCATACGTTTGCGCGTTGATAGAATTGCCCTTTTCGTCTTCCGACACGGGCATTCCTGTGCGTTACATGAAATCAGGGAAAAGGGCACAGGTTGATAAGGCGGGATCGGCCGTCACAGAAAAAATCCCTAGACGTGTTTCTTTCGGTGGCAAAGTGTCCATTGCGATGTAGCAGGCGCGGCACTCGAGCACCCATAAGGGAGCCGTCAGGGTTTCGTCGCCAGTGGCGCAACGGTCACTGGGGGGGCCAATGCGTTTTCCCAGAGGGGCATTATGGTAGGTTTCCTCCCCGCGGGCCCAGCCACCCTCCCCGAGAATTCCGCCCCCCTGGGGGCTTGATCATCGGGGTCGCGGTGCCGCGCGCGTGGTACGCGTGCTCGTTGTTGCCGACTCGTGAATCCAAACGCACCGATTTGGGGTGCACGCATATGCACTAGGGTTGGTCCAGTCTACCTTTGTCTGAAAGAGAACGCCTATCCCTGCAGGCGCGATTGGGCGCGTAGGGCGTAGGACTACTCACGCCTCGTAAAAGCTCTGCAGTGCTTGCATTGGCCAAGAAGTCGCTGGACAAACCCGCGCCCGACTGCGTGTTATTCCCTTTCGGCGGCCCTGCAAACCCACGGGTGTTGGGCCATATTTTTTGGGGGAGGGGGGGTGGGGGCGGGGGTGGGGGCGTCGGGCCAGGGATCGCCCGCGGGCTTACCTCCCGCAGCTCCGCGCTGCGTCGCGGCCACTGTGCCGAGTTTAGCCGGGGCGGGCTGAGGGCGCAGACCCTCGGAGGTCTAGTTGTTATGCGTTCGCTGCCCCTCCTGGGGGGCCTTCGTCGTCGTGGCCAGAATTTGGGGTTAATAAGGGGCGCCCCCCATTGCCGCCCCCTCCCCCCCGCCCCCCCCCCCCCCATTCGTTTCCAGGCGGTCCCGCCCAGGCCGACGAGCCCAAACGCCCGAAACCATTAATGCGTTGGAGACATCGTCACAATCTCACCGTGAACGCAGAATGCCTTCACCGAGGGGCGCCTTCCCGAGGGCAGGCCCGTCCGCCGTGGGGGTGCATTGCCATGGGGGGTCTCCGCGGGGAGCGGGGGCTCAGCAATCATATCCCAATCCCTCCCTCGCCCCCCTTGGCCCGAGGCCATCGCGTGAACAGGGGGAAGGGGGGTGGGCGGAGGGGGATCTTGGTGGGAAAGAAGGCGAAGGACGCACGCAGATGGGGAATTCACCCACCCTCCCCCGCCCTTCCGCCGTCACCCGTGCTTGCAGCCATTTTGGCTTCCTGGAGCTTGAGCTCCAGTCGGGATGCGTCGGTGGTGGTTGAGCTGAGATACTCGTGCTATGTGGCTCTTCAAACACAGAGGCCAGCGAGGGGGAGGAGTAGGGGGATGGGGGACGGTGGGGAGCAGGGGGGGGGCGGGGGTGATGAGGGGGGGGAGTGGGGGGGGGATCACGAGGAGGACGAGGGTGATAATAAGGGGGATGAGGGGCAGAAGAGGTGGAGAAGAGGAGGATGATGCGGAAGTGGAGGGCGACGTAGCTGAGTATTTCAGTAAGACCACCGCGCTCGCATTGCCCAGGTCCATGGACGCTCGCCTTGCGAACTTGGCCCGCGCCCGCGATGTGTTGACAGAGCGTCGGCGGCAGCGCGCCGACGCCGCCGTGCTCGGGCCTGGCGCAGCAGCAGGCGCCTTGGTGCCAGCGGTCGTGGCGCCGCGGCCTCCCGAACTGACGCAAGAGACGTTCAGGCTACTGTGCGAGCCCAGGGCACCGTTCCAGACCTCTCCTTTGACTTGGGCGCTACACGTGGCTGGACGATTGGTTTCGGTGGCGCCCGACGATGACTTGGACGCCGACGTGCTCGCCATTGTTCGCGAGCAGTGCGTCGACCCGTTGTCCACGAGGTGCAAGCTACAGTCAGGACATGCGGCAAACGTGCCGCGATGGAAATTGAATTTGTCTTTGCCTTTGATTGCCTCGTGTGTATCAGCTTGTGACCGCGTGGCGGTCCATCGGTTTGTTGCTGCGATCGCGAAGATGCCAGTCTCCAAGCTCCTGTTCATCGATTCCGCCAGGTACGATGAGACGCCAATGCGGCTTACGACGAGAGAGCAGGAAGTCCGTCTTTTCTGGAGCAGAGCGCCTGGGAAGGCGATGATGCGAGCCCGCACAAGTACTCTTGCTAAAGATACGACGGTTGGCAAGTTGTTTCAAACTGAGTCTCGGTGGGGCGTCCTCTTGGAGTTCGATCTACCACCTGGGTCTTCTGATAACCCATACGTGATGATCATCGGCGAGACTGTGAATTGGATCCAGATCTTGAGCTCTACCACTGCAGAATCCCTGTATGCAGCACTTTTGACCACCGACGCCGTGACAGACGCCACCCACGCATTTAGTAATAAAGTTCGCCATGCTACGACCGACAAGTATGGTGCAAACTTAGTGGCGGAGGCTCGCATGACCAAGCACCGCACCAACACGTCGCCGACTCCGTGGTTCGGCCTCCATGAGCCATGCGATGTACATATTGTTTCTGCCGTGCACACCAAGACTTTTGCATTGACCGAGGATTTCATTTCTGGCCTTATCAACGTGAGCTTGTCGCTCGGTGGCGGTGACAACATGCGGAGATTCAGGAAATGCTTGGCAGCCGATATAGACAATAGGTTATTGATCAAATTTGGTGAGCCGCCGCCAGACGCTGTCGAATATCGCAAAGTGATCCTCTCGCTCTTCTTGGCCAGGGGACCTCGGGCAGCCGAGCGACGGGCCTTGCTAACCAAGTGCGTGCCAGGAGATTGGAGAAACCTTGATAACATCGAGTTCTATTGCGCCCACGGGTCTCAACCAAACAGGGGAGATATCGTTTATTTGGTACAAGACGGGCTCCTTGTGGCGCTTGCTCACAGGTCTTACAGCACGTACCCGCGCCACAGGTGGACAGGTTGTGACATCAGCACCGACGAGATTGGAATACTCGCAGCGTGTTCTGGCATCCTTGGGAGGGTGTATAAAGCGTTTCTCCAGACTTTTGCCAAGGCGAACAGGCCTGTCCGCGCCGCGGGCGAGGCTGGTGCAGCTGCAATATTGCCTCTGGCAGCGCCCGACACAGTCCCAGCCATCATGGACGCGGATCGGCCAGTTCCCGCGCCCGCGGGCGAGGTCGGAGGCAACGCAGCCGAGGCCCCGACTGAGACGTGGCAGGAGGCGCAAGCCCGCCACAGGAGGTTAGGCGAGGCGTTCGTGGAGTCAGAGCCCCTCGGTCTACTCATGATTGCTCGGACGTGCATGGAACCATTGCGAATATTATTAGCAGCACACTTCAGGCTGGCGAGTGACAAGTGGGAACGGCAGCAACGAGCGACCGAGGTGGCGAACTCCTTCAGCCACGCCGCTGGCGGTAAGCCGCGCGAGCACCGCATCGCCATTGCAGCAGAGATGAAGCTAGAGGACGACCTCGACATGCGCCTGCGTAGTTTGATGTTTACGCCTGAACCGTGGGTACATCTGCCGCGTGAGTGGCAATCAGTTGCAGGTCGGTCTTTGATCCTGCGGATGCTCGCTCGCATTGGGTGCGCAGTGGCTGAGCTTCTCCGACTGCCGCATCGCCGTTTCCACAACCGACTCTTCATGTTACTATCGGACCCTACATTGTACGACGTTTTCAAGCACGAGCCTCGTTGTGTCTTGGGCGAGTGGAGCTACGCCATGCTTCAGCAATGGGATGAGGACTCCGACGGCGCCGATGTGCTGATGCAGCTCAGACTGTTGGCGCTTCTCATCAAGAAGGACATCAGCAAGATTGAGACCATGCACGCTACGATACGCAGACTGCTGGTGGGCATGAGTGTCCAGACGCATTCTGTGGAGGGGCCAATTCTCTGTTCGAAGTGGGTCTGTGACAATGTGAGAAGGAGGCGCATCGAGAAGACGAAGGGGAAGTTCGTGAAGCCAGCAGCCACATCAAAACAAGTTACTACAGCTAGGTCGAGGGCGCCTAAAGTTAAGAAGTGCTCAGGCGGTGGTTGTCGTGCCTACGCTAGCGTGCATCGCGCGCCTGGGGGGCGACCTGACTGGGGGAGGCTATCGGCGGAGTACAACGCTCTGTCGCCAGAGGCAAAGGCGTACTACGTCGAGCTTGGTCGGCTGGCCACCATTGCGGGCAGGGGCATGTCAGCCACAAAGTCTGCCTTCGGGGTGACGTTCGGGAAGGCTCAGAAGGCTGCGCGGCGAAAGCTGAGACGTGCCGTGGCCGATAGAGGACGCGACCAGCTCTCGGACGAGGCATTGGTTGCCCAGCTCTCCGCCGCTGTACTCCAAGAAAGTGCTGACGGGCCTGGTGATTTTTTCCAGTCGGTTCAGTTGGTGCAGAGCCTTGCGCGGGCAGGCGCCCGCTCGTCTGGCGAGGCGTCTGCCAGAGAGGACGCGCGGATCGACTGCGCGCTGGCCACGTTCACCCAGGACGTGGGCAACCGCCAGGTGGCGAAGTTTATGGCTGCCGCCCCCGAGCTGTCGACGTTTGCGGAGGCGCTCGTGGCCATCCCGCATTCTCCGTGCCCCCTCTTCGACTACAACCCCGACAGCGGCCTGGTCGGTGGCAAGATTGCGGCTTGGGCGTCCCGCCACGCCACGGACTCGAACCTCTCGTCCGCTTTGCAGAGCGATTGGACGATGAAGACGTGGCCGATCTCTCCAGGCCCTGCGCACTGCGGTGGCGGAGAAGACGATGCAGCCCACCTTCGACCTTCGAAGTGCCAGCTTGCTGCCGTGTGCTTGTGTTCGGAGGAGGGTAAGAACCTGGATAAGTTTTGCAAGAACTTGCTCACGGCCCTGAAGCCGATGGTTAAAGCCAAGTCGGCGGCTCGCCGCACGTTGCTCGATGGCAAGCTTGTGTGCAGACTGACGTGGACAAGGAGCGACGTCGATGACGATCATGTTGCTGCTGCGCCTGTCGGGGCGCCGCCGCCTCCCCAGCGCCAGGGCGACGTGTGGATGCACATTGGCATGATGTACCTGAGCCCTTACAGGCCGTCGTGGCACCTGGTCGAGAGGCGGCGCGACGGCGAGGGCCTCGTGTACGGCCCTGGCATCCCCATGAAGGCGACCCGTCGGGGTAACCAGCCATATATTCTAATTCAAGGCGTGTTGTGATGCACATTTTTTGTCTCATTCAAAATCGACCGAGCAACATAGTTTAATTGTTATTCAGGTGTAATCGGCATTGCGGCTCATTGCAGGCGACTGGGAGGTACAACGACTTCTACTCGCCGCTTGCCGACCTTGAGCTGGACCACAGAACTTGGACACTGCGCGCGTATCAGATTTACGAGAGCGGCCAGCCGTGCGCACACTTCATCCCTGCCTACTTCGAGGTCGTTGACGTCGCGGGCACCGACGAGCGCCAGTATTGGCCGAGATTGACGCGGAGGCGGGCTGACCGACGACCAGACGACGACCCTGCTGCCCCAGGGCATGATGGGGATCATGGTGTTGGCGGCGGGCCTGGTGACGAGCTTGGCGATGAGCATGACCAGGGTGACGACGAGGACGGCGACGAGCCCGACAAGGACGGGCTCCACGCCTTGGACGACGTGGACGCTAGCCTCGAGCTCGAGGCGCTGCTGGCGCTGAGCGACGCCCTCGAGGAAATCCGAGCGGACCGCGGGTTCTCAATTTTTTTGACGTTTCGCGTGTCCCCGTCAGCCCATCCAGAGACGATGCGCAGGCCTTGTGCCTTGATCTAGGAAGTGGGGGGGGGCATGCAATGAGACAACGGGTTGGCGAGTCCGTTGTGCCCCAAGAAGGGGGTTTGGATGAGGAGGCTGGTGAGGGGGGGGAGGAGGAGGCGGATATGGATAACGCGGATGAGGGCGAGGGGGGCGAGCGGGAGTTGGGGGAGGAATGAGGGGGGATGGCGAACATGCGGATGAGGGGGAGAAGAAGGCTAATGATAAGCATGAGGAGGAGGATGGCGGTCATAAGAGCCAGCGGCGCAGTGCTGAAGTATGGACGGCCACGCAGCGCGAGCTCCTCGCACTGCACCTGCACCCTCCTCCGCGCTCCCACGATCCCCCAGGGGAATGCGCCAACTTGGATCATATTGGGTGCCTCAGGGAGCCTATGTGCCTCTTTGGGATCCCTCGGGGGTGGTGGCCTCTTGGATGCATGTTGGGCGCATCCTAGGGCCGCCTGGGCGCCTCTTGAGGCCCTCTTGGGGCGTTCTTGGGCAGCATTGGGTGCGCTCTTTGGGCCATATCGGCTGGGGCCGATCAAATAATTTAGGGTTCTTCAGTTCGCGCCCCCCCCCCCCCCCCACCACCCCGCCCTCTCGTGAGCCACCTAAAATCCCATGGCCCATCTTGGGCCCTCTTGGAGCACCCGCGGGCATTCTTGGGGCCGTCATTGGGCTCTCTGCGGCCCCTCTTGGGGCCACATTGGGCCATCTTGGAGCCATGTTGGGGCCTCGGGAGGCCAGCGACGGCGAACGTGCCAGAACGAAAGGATCAGTTGTTTCCCTTGGATTGTTGAAAGAGCTTGGCTGCTTGGATGCATCCTTTGATGTCTCGGAGGCCTCTTGGAGCCGTATTGGGGCAGTATTGGGCCCTCTTGGGGCATCCTCAGAGCCATCTCGTGGCATCTTATGTTATATTCAGCCATCTTGGGGCTCACCTTGGGCTCTGCAAGGCGCTCTCGGGGCAGCCTTGGGCCATCTCGGGCGCCCCACCTACCAGCGAAAATCACCCTGTCCAGGCCCAGGGGGGCAGGATAGAGGGCTGGGCAAACCCACCCCCGAGGAGGAAGACACGGGTTTGAGAAGAAACCTTACTAGACCACCCACGCCCAGAGGGTTGATGTGATTAAACACGTAAGCTCTCCTCTTCCTCCGCCTCTTCCTTATCTTGCTGGCGCTGTTGCTGCTGTCGTTCCTTCTCCTCCCCCCCCCCTTCCTCCGCCTTTTTTTATTCATCGCACCTGCCCCCCCTCCCTCCCCCCCCCCCTTCCTCCCCCCCGCTTCCTCTCCCTCCTCCTCCTCCTCCTCCTCCTCGCCGCCCGTATACGCGCGGGCCGTGGTCAACGCGATGGGCCGGGCGGCCCCAGACACTCTTGCGCCCAGATGCGGGGTAGTGTCAAGCGCGCACGGCATTGAGACGGACGGTGGAGGCGCGCGGATGGCGAGGGCGGGGGGTGACGAACGGGGGCAGACGGGCAATGCAAGTGCAGGCTTGTCGCAGAGATGCGCAGCGTCGCGGAGGCGGCCGCTTCTGCGCCGCAGTCAGCACCGTTCAGCCCGCCTGCCTGCCAGCGTTCGGGCAATCGGCAGCGCTGCTGCGCCCTCCGAGGAGGCCCGCCGTCAATCACAAGGCCTGTCGGCCAGCTGTTGCATCGGTCGTCGCCCCGTCGCGCGCATCGGGGTGTCGAAGTCCGCCCGCGCGCGCGTCGGGGTCGGACGAGCGCCCTTCGGGTTGCCGCGTACGTCCTGCGGGCCCGAGGCCATCGGCGCAGCGTCACCCGCAGCCAGTCGTCAACACCTGGGACCGCCTCCCTTGTGCTACCTTGAAACGGTGCATCAATGCGTCGGGGTCTTCTTTGGATTTGTGGCGAGGTCGCTGACCGCCGATTTCAGCGTCGGGGAACCATTGCGAGGCCATCTCGTCGGGGACTTTGTCTTCGGGCCGCCTCGCTGGCGGACCGCGGGCGTGTTCCTTGCAGCATTGGTCCACTCGGCGCGTTTCTTGCCCCTCCTGGAGTTCTGGAGCTGCGGACCGACTTGTTGACATCGGGTTGCGCGACGGCGGCTGCGTCGCGCGGTATCAACGCGGGGATTCGCCCAGCGGCGCGGCGGTGCGCGCGATGAGATTCATCGGCGACGGTTTTGCAGCGGCGCGTTGCCGTGCGCTGTCCGAATTCGCAGGCTCGACTGGTGCCGCTCGAGCGGGCGCTGCGCGTTGCCAGTGTCGGCGCCGCTCAGCAGCCGAGCCGCGCAACGCATCGTCGCGCGTCGCGCCCAGCGCGCGCGGGCCCGCGGGTTGGCGCCAACGTGTGTCGTTGCAGAACTTCGCCGCTTCATTCTGCGCTCGGCAATTGCTGCAGTGACTGCCCCCAGTTGCTCGCGCAGAATGATGCCTCGCGGCGCCGAGGGCGGGCGCGCAATGAGGTGCTCCCTGGGCGGTCGCAGTCGCGGCGAGGGCCACGGCAACTCTGGGAAGGTACACTGTCCTGGAGCAAGGGCCGCGCCCTCTGCGCGGCAAGCAAGCTTTTGCTGCGGCGGCGGCTACCGTCGGCTGCCCACGCGCGGCCGATGCATTGAATTGCGGGGTGCATCGTGTTCGGCAGCGGGCGGGAAGCGCGCGCGTTGGGTAGTCCCGGGTCGATGGGCTAACCGCGGGCGCGCACGGCGCTTAATTCATTCGGATCGGCCGCCCCGAAAACGGGAGGCGTTATCTGCGCGTTCGCAGGGTCGGCGGCCTTTGCGGGCGAGGTGGCCCCAACGCCGCGCGCGGTGCCCGCGCCGCGGGGGTGCCGCGCCGCCGAGCGCCAGCGCCCCCCGTCATAATCGCGGAGGCGGGCTTCCGCACGGCGGTCGTCGCCCACGGCGGTGCGCCGTCATCGCGCATTCGCCGTCGCGTTGCTGCAGCCGCGGCGCCGAGCAGTCTGCGGCGATGCGTTGCCTCAGTTCGTTGCGTCCAAGGGGGGCGCGCTGGGCGATTGTCGGCTGTCGACGCGGTAGCAGCAGCCCGCGAAACGCGCCAGGCGGCCTCGCTCACCATGGCGGTTCCGCGGGCGCCACGACGCGGCTCTCGCGGGCGCAGCGGCGCGGCTTCAATTGCGGTTTGTCGACGCTGGCGCTGCCGCGGCCCGTCGCCGATGTGCTTGGCGCAGCCGCCCGCGTGCCCGCGATTGCGGCGCAGCGCGCCTCATGTGTCGCGCGCCCCGTCGGCGGCGGCGCCCGGCGAGCATCGCCCGTCAACGCCGTGGCGACAGCCCGCGCGAAAAGGCGACGATTCGCCGCTGACAAGGCATCGTGCTGCCCCCGTGCTTCTGCCAGCGACGCGCAGCGCGCGGCCTCCTAGGGCTGCCGACTTTCGGAAATGCACGGGGTCCTTGCGGCCACGGCTCACGGGGAGCCTGCGGCGCAGCAGGCGCCCCATGTCAGGCGCCGCGCGCCGCGCCCCGACATCGCTGCTCCCGTTATCGACGCCCCGCGCCCCGTTGTAAAACACGCGCGCTGCATTTCGCCGCGGGCGGGTCTCGCTTGGGCCGCGTGGCGCGCGGGTGCGAATCATGGGAGAGAGGCGTTGTGTTTGTAAGCCAATTGCGTTTCGAAGCGCGTCCTGCCTTGAACGCGCTTTTTTGAGGGGGGGGGGGGGCGGGGCATAATTGGCGGCCGTTGATGACATGCGTGGCTGGCATCTCGAGATATGCGTCCTGAGGTTGGCCAGCTTTGGGTGATGCGTTTCAAACGAACGCGCTCCATTCGCCATCCCGCGCGCGGGCGCACGCTGGAAGGCGCGTTGTGCTTGTCTGCGTGTGGTGCGTGCGGTGTGTGCGTCGCGTGGTGGTGGTGGTGGTGGTGGTGGTGGTGGCGGTGGTGGTGGTGGTGTGTGGTGTGTGTGTGTGTGTGTGTGTGTGTGTGTGTGTGTGCGTGGTGGTTGTGGTGTCGGGCGGTGGTGGTGGTGGCGGTGGTGGTGATGGGGCCAGGGGGTGGGGGGGGGGACGTAAGGGTGGTGGTGGTGGTGGTGGTGGTGGTGGCGGCGCGCGTGGCGGGTGGCGGTGGGCGTGGCAGGGGGCGGGGGGATGGTCGGGGGAGGGCAGTGGGGGGGGGGGAGCGGGGCGGGCGCGCGCATGGGGATGTCTTGCATTGCATTCTAGGGGGGTTGGGTGGCGCAGCCCGCCATTGGCTGTCCAATTGAAGTGCGCAGGGGTTGGGGGGGGGTGGACAAATGAAAGCATTTTGTGGGCGAGACGGCGCGGGTTCGCTTCCAAGCGGTCGGGGGGGGGGGGGGGCAGGTGGGTTCCGCGGGCGGCGCCCGCAGCTGATCAAACTTTGGCCGCCATGGCGCGGGCGGGATGCCAAGTTTGAGCGAGCCGCGGGCGGGCCGACCTTCATGGGCGCTCGCGGGCGGGCAGGTCTTGGCGGGCGCCCCGCGGGCGGGCGCGCCCAATACTGTCAATTCGCGTAGCGCAGGCATCTAGCTGAGTCTACGCGTTCGTCAGGCGGACGACCTTGCGGGGCACCATTCGGCCAAATAGCGGTGACCTCGCTCCGCGATGATATTGCAAAGTGGCGGGGCATTCTTCGGGCGGGCGCGGGCAGGTCTGCAGGTCCCAGGCGCGGGCTTGGTCGCGCTGATCTGCCTTGGGTGCAAGTATTCTGGCTTGCGCGAAACTTGCCCGATGCCGTGCCAGCGTCGGCTTACATTCATCGGCGCGGGGCAGCCGCGTCGCGGCGTTAGTGCGGATGCAAGCTCATCTGCGGGTGTAGGTTGACGGGCATCTCGCCGCGGGCGGAGCAACCTTCAAGGCCTCAGGGGCATTCCGCGGGCTGGCGGGCACGCGGGGCGCTGGCGGACGCGCCGACAAGCGTTTTGGC